GAACCTTTCCCTGAGATCCCATTTCAATAACCCTGGGTATTTCAAATGTGTCTGGGCTGTGTCAAAAGGCCTCAGCTTCTGGCCTCATGATGTTTCCAGCTCCTTCCCAATGCAGAGCTCAGTCAGAAATAAGAAACCTGGGATTCCAGACACAGGCATAGCTTTCACCCCAAGGGTTTGGGATTCACTCCTGGGTTAGGAGTCTGCTCTGGGGCTACACATCGGGCAGGAACTCAGCTGGATGGATGATGCCCTTTCTGCATTCCAGAGACAAAGCAAATCCTCTGCACCCTCCACTCCATTTGTAAACATATGCACCATGGCATAAGCCCTTAGTGCAGGAGGAGAGGGGTACTCACTGGGATTGCCACAACAGCACCCCATCCTGCAAAACCCTTTTCTATGAACAAAACCCCATGTTATCCTGGATCTGAATGGTTTGAGATGTGCCCACTTTCCAGAATCACTCATTAATCCCAGTTTATGCCTCTGATAGCCACGCTTTAGTCAGCAGCTTACAATGTAAACTTCTGGCAGGTGCAGTGCTGAACCCTGAAACTCCCTCTCAAGTCCAACACCTCTTTGCAGTCACCTTTGCTGATCCCATCACACCTTTGCTGATCCCATCACCCACACGGCATGTTCCCTGTGCAGTGTTCAGATCCCCAAACCCTGACTCCATCACACAGGTACCTTGGGGCAGGCGGCCGGTAACAGACACTGCATAGACACCTGGCTTGAAGGTACCTGCAGGAAATAAAACCCCAGGTTACCCCACATGGAGCAGCCAGGTGGGAATCCTCAACCTGTGCAGATGTCCCCTCATTGCGGGGACAGAATCCCTTCCACAGCCGAACCAGCAGTTCCCACTGCCCCTGAGAAGGGTTTGCAGAGAAGGGATTTCCAGCTCCCAAATTACTCACTGATCCGCTGCCACTTGGAGACCCAGCTGTCCTCAGGGCTCATCATGGTGATGATCCTGCAGGAGGGATGGCAGTGAGGGGACGTCTCCTGGCTGGGTGACCCCACAGTGCCACTTCGGTATCCCCAGGCTCCTGGGGGACCGAGGCCAGGCCCAGCCCCACTCACCCATCAAAGGAGGAGCTGGTGCAGTCATAGACCATCTCGCGGTTGCCCTTCATCTGCAGATACGTCTCGCAGTTGTCACAGCCATCGTACTCGAACTGGTCGATGGTCTAAAGGAACACGGGTGTTGGGGACCGGGACCAGTCAGGGGCTGGGGAAATGGAGGGAACCCCGGGAAGGAGGGCTCAGGGCCAGGGCCAGGGCCGGGGCGGATGGGAAGCGACCAGAGGCTGCAGGAGGCAGGGGAGGGAGAGAGGCCCGGGCAGGGAAGGGCCGCGGCAGGAGCGGGGAGGCCGGGCCGGGGTCGAAGGGACAGACCAGGCGGGGGAAGGACCAGGAAGGTCCAGGCCAGGGAGGGGGGCCTGGGCCGGGAAGGGGCGGGACAAAGAGGGCAAAACGGGCGGGGAAAGGGCCGGGAACGGCAGAAAGGCTCGGGCCGGGGCCGAGAGGAAATAGAGCCGGCGCAGGGAAGGGCCAGGGCTGGAGCGAGGAGGCCCGAGCCGACGTGGGGGGCTGGGACAGGGAGCGCCGAGGCCGGGGAGAAGGGCCCGGCAGGGGCTGCAGGGCTTAAGCCGGGCGGAGGAAGGTCCGGAACCGACGGGAAGCAACCCCTGTGCCGGCCCCTGTCCCTGTCCCCTTCCCGGTCCCACCTTGACGAGGGAGCAGAGCAGGCAGGCGCGCAGGTGCCGCAGGTCCTTGGGGACGGTCTCCAGCGAGATCGCGGCCATCGCTGCCCCGCTCCCATTCTGCGGCTGCGCAGCGGCTCCGGACCCGCCCCGGGAACGGCAACGGGAACGGACCCGCCCCGGCCCTGGACCCGCCCCGGGAACGGGAACGGGAACGGCAACGGGAACGGCAACGGGAACGGACCCGCCCCGGCCCTGGACCCGCCCCGGGAACGGGAACGGGAACGGCTCCCCGCCCCGGGCACCGGCACCGGACCGGCCCCGGGAACGGCAACGGGAACGGCCCCGCCCCGGCCCTGGACCCGCCCCGGGAACGGGAACGGGAACGGCTCCGAACCCGCCCCGGGCCCGAGTGGGCGCGGCGGGCGGAGGTTCTGTCACGGCCCGGGCCCGGGTCCCTCCCCGCGGGCTCCTCCGCCAGCGCAGCCCAATGCACAAAGAACAACCGCAGGCAGCAGACCAGTACATGGATAAATATATTAGTAAATAAATATATTTCTGAGCACATCAGCACATATTCACACATCTTTGTGTTTATCGGACATAAATACACAGTTTTGCATATATATATAAAACGTATTCTTTTTTTTTTTTTTTTTTTTCCCCCTGTGTGTGGTCTTTTTTTTTTCTGGGTCATAATTTATTCCCAAACCCCGAGAGCCAGGATAGACTCACCAAAAAAAAAAAAAAAAAAAAAAAAGTCTTTTTTTTTTCCTGGGTCATAATTTATTCCCAAACCCCGAGAGCCAGGATAGACTCACCAAAAAAAAAAAAAAAAAAAAAAAAAAACAAAAAAAACAAACCAGGAGCGTTTGAAAAAGCAAGAACAAAATGAACTAATATTCACATTTCCAAAGGATATGAAGAATTTTTGCAGGAGGGGACATCCAGCCAGCCTGACCATATGCCCAGTTCAGGAGGTGGGAGCTCCTGGGAAGGGGGGACACAGCAAAAGGACTGGGCCTTCAGCTTGGATAGAGGGAGCTTGGGATGCTCTGGCTTCCATCAGTTTTTGGCTGTGACTTGGGATGCAAAGAAAGAAAATCAGCTCTGCATCACTGCAGGAATGCTGGAGAAATTCCACGGTGGAGCCCACAAGCACCGAGCACTCAAAAGCATCACCCAGAAGCAAGAGGTGAAGAACTGTGAGGAACCATTCCCTATTTTCTCAGATACTGCTTCTTCCCTTCCAGGCAGCCAAGGGTAGTCATCCATCTACTGAAGAGGACCTTTCAAACTCAAGTTCCCAGACAGTTCCTCCCTGTCCTCCCCCTGAGCCCCCACTGAGGCAGACCTGCACTCCAGCACCTCCTACGTGAGCAGGAGCAGCAGCATAAGGTCGGGGAAGGGAGACATCTGGCAGCCTGGTACTAGTGCAGTGGGGAGTGGAGAGGGTGCAGCTTTCCCAAAGAAGCTTGTGGCTCACAAATTCAGCAATTTCCTCTTCTGTTAGGGGTAAGGAGGGAAAAACAGGACTTTAGAGCTGCACTTGTTCTTTTGAGCAGTGAAATGCATCCCTGCAGGCTCTCTGCCTTCCTGACTCCTAAAAAAAGCAGCGGGAGCACCCTGACTTCATGACCCTCCCCCTCTATTAAGCCTTCCAGCCCTCCAGGATGGTCAAGGACACAGGGAGCTGGTTCACACAAGCCACACACCAGGAGCACAAGAAGCCGAAGAGGTGAATCCAGAGCCACTCCTGGATTTTTCCTCTAGTTTATGACTGACTTCCCTGCACAGGAGAAAACTTTCAGAGCTTGTGTCTTCTGCTTGTGCTGTAGGACAAACAAGAACCTGGAAAGGTCTGAATGTAATTCTGCTGGGTTCTTTGACGAAAGAAATTCAGCTCTTCCCTAGACTGAAAGGTCCCACAGGGACTTGGTCACAAGGAGACAAGGAATGAGCACTACAAGAGAATAATGCTGGGTTTAAAACAGTGCTATTGGCTGATCACTTGACTGTCAGGTACTGATTAGCAGCTGGGACAAAGATGCCTTTTTCAAGGATTAAGGGCAGCAAACCCCGTAAAAAGCTTTCCCACCAACAAAAGAAGGCAGAGGATTATCCCGAACTGGGACTGCATCACCAGAGTGGCTCTCTTGAGAAGCTGCTGCTTCAAAGGAAGACATGGGAAGGTTTACTGAGCAGATGGGAAAGTCTGTCCCTACATCAAGTTTCAAATTGTTAAGCGTTATCTTTAGCTCCAGTGTAGTATCCTCACCAATGCTTCCTTGTGCTTGGAAGCACTTGGTGCCACAGAAACGTGCATTTCACATGGGAATCTGGCTGATTCTTTGGCCTGACTGCTCATTTAGGGCAATGAATCTGATGGGAATTCTCTGCTGTTTGAAAGCTGCATGGGTTCTGTATGTTTTGAATTTGGCAGGTTTTGTTTTGCTTGAACGTCTGCAAATTATGAGATGTAGGAATTAAGAACTAGTGACATTCAGAAAAACCCAAAATATTCATAAATGGGGGAGTGGGGGAACATAATAAACTAGAGCCTGATGATTTCTCAAGTTTTCTCCCTGAATCATCAAAATGTTGGAAAAGACAGAAAAATCGTTTTGAAGGATTTCAGGAGTCTCAGAATATGAAGTTAAGGCTGGGTGATGGACAGGGCTCTCCTCTGCGTTTATTATGGAAGCTTTTGCTGGGAATTTTTGCTGTGTCTTGGAGCAATGAGAGGAAGGAGAGAAGCAGGAGCCACATGAACTCCAGGATTTTGTATGACTCCTGTGATGGGGACATCTAAGATATGTTTGAAATATGCTCTTAACAGGGCTGGCCATGACAGCTATTTGAGGGTAGGTGGAGGAGTTAGGGGGTGAGTGAGAGACTTTGTTCACATTGCCAGATGAGAGGGTGGATTCTTTGCAATGGAAAGAGTCTGACCCAGCTCCTTCCCAGAAATGCTGACGTCCCTGTGTCTTCCCCTCTCCCGCTGCTGGCAAACAGTCAGTGGCTGAGACGGCGTCAGCTGAGGGACACTGAGGTGACCAAAAGTGATGAGAGCTCTTGGTTTCCACTGAAGTCAGAAGCAGCACCTTGCAGGGCAGGCCTGTGAGCGGTGAGATGGAGAATAGCTTGTTCCTGTGTCTGAAATAAGCATGGAAAAGTTAATTGAAGAAATCTGGCTTTTGACCTAAGTGAGGAAATGAAGTCAGGAGCTACCAGGCCACAGAAAGTAATTTCTGCAGCTTTTGGTCTCGAAGGCTTGTTTATTTTTGCAGTGTTTAGCAAAACCTTCTGTGGCGTGAACACGCCAAAATAGCAGCTTGCACTCACTCGGTGAGCTCTCCCTGGGAGCCCTGCCCAGCTCGGAGCGGTGCCATGGATGACGAGGGGCTGCCTGTGCCTCCAGAGGAGACGGGCCTGGACAGCAGGGCTCTGTCTGTGTGACCGTCGGGCCGTGGGGACGTGTCAGGAGACCACGAGTGGCCCGCTGCTCTTGCCAGTCTGTGTCTCAGCAAGGCAGGGCTGGGCAGAGCCAGATGTGAGCAGCTCCATCAACATCTGTGTCCACTCCAAGTCCCACCGAGCAAAGAGGCCAGTGTTTTATTAAACTGAGTGTTCATGGACATCCTGGACCTCCTCTTCAAATCCTGCATTCAAAGAAAAGGACAAAGAAAAGTGTCAGCTACACCTGGCTGAACATTCCCAGCCTCTGCAGCAGCTGGGGCCTTGACCCTGCAATCCAGAGAACAAATGCTGCAGGAAAAACCACTAAGTGAAAGCTACTAAAAAAGCCACTAAGCCACTAAAACAGGCTCCCCAGGGAACGGTCCCAGCCCCGAGGCTGCCAGAGCTCCAGGAGCGTTTGAACAACGCTCCCAGAGATGCACAGGCTGGGATTGTTGTAGTGTCCGGGCAAGGCCAGGGACTGGATGATCCTTGTGGGTCCCTTCCAGTTCAGAATACTGCATGATCCTAGGAAGTTTCTCTCAGTTTTTCAGAGGGAATTTTCTGGCCACCTCCCAGCCAATTTATTCCTCTAAGGTGAAGTACAATAAAATCTTAAGATAAGACATCAAGCTACTCCTTATATATTTCAGAGGAGGCAGGCTAAGGGACCCTAGGATTCACATCACTGCTAGGTGTTTGCTTTTGAAGCTTTTTTATGTTTGCTCTTTGTGGAAACCTGTACAGCTCATTCAAAAATTATTAGGAACAGAAAACAACAACAATTCGTATCTCACAGAGCCGGGGGCAACAGAAACTCCAGGCAGTAAGAGCAGAGAGCAGTGATGCAAGACAGGAATGACATATGTTCCACAGCGTTCGAGAGGTTGCACAAATTGCTTCTGAGCCCAGCTCAGGTCCAGGCTCTTGCCGGCCCCTTCTGCCTGGAGAATTACTGATAGGCAGGTGCTGAGTAGTTTACTTGGAACCATCCAACAAAAGGGCTGCCTAAAAAGGTGCACCCAAGTCACTGCTCCAGACAGCCCCTTTCTCTCAACGTCACTACCTGTTGTCACACACACCACAGTCCCTTCCCAGATGTCTCTCAAGCCTGCCCAGAACTCTTACACAAGGTCAGCATAGCCCAGCAAAGGCAAACAGGCATTTTTCTTCCTATCTCCCTTTTCCTGAATGTTTCTGAGATCAAAGGAAAGAAATGCCCTCTTAAAGATTCATTGAGGGCAATTTAAAACAGCTTTTCAAAACAGTCACAACAAATTCTTGTCGGTTATACATCACCTATGTATCTGCTCCAGCTGTAGGAGCAGAGCCTTGAAAATTAAACATGTGTGAAGAAAACAAACAAATGAGATTCTGCTTGGAAAAGCGTACCTAACCATGTAGGAAAATGAATGCACATGGTGTTATACATGTACACATGTGTGCAAGCATGGCCATAGTACCTGAAGACAGAGTTTAAGCATCTCTTGCATTTCAGACTTGAGTCACAAGTATGTGGACTAAACCATTTCCAACTGCTTCCCCTGTCACCAGCTTATGTGCAACCCAAAAAGAGACTGTCCAGCTTCAAGCCCTCTGTGTTCACATGCCTTCAGTCTCAAACAGCATTATTACAATATTTTCTGAAAGCTGTGCCTGCATAAGTTGTGCTAAGAAAAGATCATGAACTGGGAGAGGTGAGAGAACCTTGGCTGGTGGATTGGCCGTGGCACGGCAACGACCTGGAGCACACCTTTATGACACCACAGAAATTGTGTTCTTTGGGTGTTAGGTTTTAAGGGTGGTCTTTTTTTGCCCTCTAATCCCTTTCCCCCTCCCTAGTAAGGTTAAAAGATGTGGCAGGAAAAGGGACTCAGGATGAGCAGGAGGGAAGAGAGGGGGAGGATGTCGAGTGCACTGCAGGAGGTGAGCTTTCTCAGGGAGAGAAATCAAGAGATTTCATCAGCCTGTGCTGGAGTAATGTGGCTGTTCTGGGATGCTTCCTGGGTGTGCCAGGGCAGTTCAGGAAGCCATCCAGCTGGAATTCACTCCCAGCTGTCTGTCTTCCCATAAGAGGATCCATCAGCATTGCTCCAGGATTGATTCTCCAGGACACGATTCCCAGGTGCGGTCTCTCCAGGCAACAGAAGAGTCAGGGATGCACCTTTACGCAAAGCCCACCAAGAATGGCTGATGGAGATGCTCAAGGAAGAGGCATAAACTCCAAGATCATGCAAGGCTCTTTGGGATCATCCACAGCGTTATTCCCTTGATGCCAGAGCATGGCACTGCCTGCACTAGTGGAATTTCTCCAGGGGCTGTGCACCAAGATTCAGCCTCACCTGGCAGCTGGGTGAGGTTAGCACACACCTGGAGGGTGCTGCATCCCACAGGAGAACCAGCAGCTTCTGGAAGCCCTGGTTCAGGAACTTCCTGAGCCAGAGGGTGGATTTGCATCTCTGCATTTGCTACCTCTTGATCTGGGCTCTCAAAACCATTTTACTTCTGGCATCTACATCCCGGGGGCTACCAGCACCAGTTTCGCTACACACCATGTGTTGCCTTTTGGGTGTTTTAAAGCTTCTGGCTCCCATTTGATGCCATCAGTTACTTTGTTCTAAGTACTCTCTTGTCTGCCTTCTCTTCTTCTCTCCTTATTTCATAACCTCTCTTCCAAATTCTCTGCTAATCACTTTTTCCCCACATGAAATTCTCACTATTCTTTCTATTTTCTCAGAAAAAAACATTGCTGGGATTGTACCAGATACATTTCTGCCCTCCTTCCAAGGGGGCAGAAATTATTTCCCTTTCTTTCTCCACCCTTTTTGATGATCAGGAGCTGTGAGATCACCACAGGCTTACACAGCTGCATAAAAGCACTTTCTGCTTGTTCCACAGAGTTCCCATCCAGCTAATGATAATGATAATAATAACAACACTAATGATAACAATAACATTGTGATTTTTACTTAATAGTGGCTCTGCTCATGTGTGGCATTTCGTGCTACTTACAGGGGATTTCATCCACCACTCTCTCACTCAAAAGATCAGCAGCAGGAGATCCTCCTGTAACACTCTGTATCCAGTTTTAACACTTGACCTCCTGATGGATTTTATATGTTATACACTTTGCTATCTCCTCTCCTCGTCCAGGATATTTATGAGCTTGCTGGAAGGTTCATACAGTTGCAGAACTCCATTTCTCTCCTTCTCTGAGTAATTCCCCTCCATTAAGTCTGATCTGCACTTGTCTCCTTTTTCAGTGAGTTATTTACCTGTGGGAGCACCTTCCCTTTTATCCTTTCAGAGCTTCCTTCCCCTAAAAGATCTGCCAGGTGTTATCTCTCCCTACAAAAACTGGGTTGCCTACTCCCCTGGTTTTCACATTCAGCCATGTGCCTACAAGTCAGACCCTGTATTTGAATTTTTAACAATTTGCTTGGCTGGAAAGTCAGGCTCATCATTCTGTGGCTTCAGCTATTTCCAGCTGATATTGCCCTCAGCTCTTCCTCCTCGGTCTGGGCATGGATAAGAGATTGCAGTCCACATTCAGGATTTATCAGCTGTGTGCTCGAGCCCTGCAGGATGCCCAGTGGGTAATCTGTACCCCTGGCAATTTGTTACTCTCCACTATATTTCAGAAGTGCTCAAACTGATGATTTCATTCATGAGGGATTCTGCCCCTCCTGCCCTGAATGGAGTTGTGCCAGATGAGAACCTCCCTGAGCACTCCCCTGGTGATCACTAATGCAATAAAGGCATTTTGCTCTTCTGCTCTGCACTTACAGCTCCTGAACATCCCTCAGACTTCCCTAGATCTGAAAAACCCCAGGCAGCCTTCTCCCTTCCAAATCAGCTGGAACGTTTGCATTAATAGTCTGCTTTACACAAGCTGTTCACAGCAATATTTCCTGGCCTGTCTCTCCATGGCTCTGTACTTCACTTGGCATCCAGCTCTGTTCTGATTTCCTTCTCCAGCCACACCTTGGCCTTGGAGCAGCAGTTTCCAAGTGCCCTCTCTGGCCTGCTGCTTGACCAGCCCTTTTCTGGGGCTGTGCATGATCCCTGTGCCCAAAAGCATCTTTTGACTGCGTATTTTAGCAATGTCCTCAAGACTCTCCTGTCTATGTAGCCTCCTCTTTGCAGCCTGTGCTGACGCAGTGTTATAAGCCTAATGCCACCCTCCTTCTACTCGGGGGGCAATTTGTGTCACTCATCACTGGACTTCACACTCTTCTTAGTGCAGTGTCTCTCCCATGCCACCAGAAGAGACACACGCTTCCCTCTCTGTAATTTCACCTAGGAATTACAGGGTCCCACTGTTTGCTTTTCTTTTAAACTGGGTTTCTGAAAAGTTTATGTCAAAACTTTAATTTAAAGCTGGAGTTTCTAATTCATCCACTTATATTTTTAGCCTTATGCTATTTATCTGGAGGCAGAGATGCATTTTTCCTTGGTCTCCTTGTCTGTGTTTTGTGTCCTGCTTGCATGGGATTATCTACTGAGATTGTTCTTTGCTCTTTTTAACTTCTCTATTGATTTATACCTTTCTCAAGATAAAGAACCAATGTGATTATAATTCAGAGTTTATGTCAACCAATGTTTTCAGCTTGGTGACTTTTCTGCATAAGCCCTGCACAAGCTCTGTGCTCTGTCCTCTGCCATTAATAAAGTTAAATCTGAATCTGTGTAGTCTCTCAATCTTGCAAGGGAATTCTGACTCTCTGTGTGGCCCTGAAAGCATCCATAGAAGCTACTCCAGTAAACAGACATAGATTCATAGCACTTTCAGACACATTGGTCCTTCTACCTGCTGGAATGGGGAGGGAAGAGGAAATGAAGGCTTGGTGTGCTTGGCAAAGCAGCTGGCACTGGCTCTGGGTGGGGTCAGAGGGTCATGAGGAGGTGGGCACAGACTGGGGCCACTGGGACCATTTCCAAAGACACAGAAGCATCCCGGCACGGACCTTGCAATGCCTGGCACCCTGTGTTAGGTGCACAGACTCCTGCTCTTGAAGCCCTCCCACATTCATTTGGGAGCTCAAAGCAAGTCCTGAGCAGTCTGCCCTGAGCCAGGAGGGCTCTCTCCATGCGAGGTACCCGGGGAGGGCATCAGCACTCCGAGCTCCCTGCAACCAGAGACATCTCTGACCTGATGCTCCTTATCTCTCCAAACACCAGCATCCCTCTGGGTCTTGGAAGAACCTCCCTATCACCTATCTGCATTGTCAGACACTTCTGCACCTGGGAAAAATATCTGTTTCTGGGAGTCAGGGGGGCCAGAAGGCTGCAGGGAGCCGGGACCATGCCCATCCAGCCTCCCCAGCCCCGCTGCCTCCGCAGCACCGGCAGCCTGGGTGTGGGGTGGGGCTGGATAGACAAGCACTGGGAGGAAGTAATTATCTCTGTGGCACAATGGGCACAGTGAGTCACAAGTTTAAGGCCAGTGTTATAACAGAAATTAGACAGCCAGATCTGTGTTTGGTACCTAAATCAAAAGGATTTGCCCGAGGACCTGCAATGAGTCAGAGGCAGGGCGAGGAAGGGAGCCAGGCTCTGCTCCCAGCCAGCACCTGTCCCTGCTGACTTGCAGGCTGCTGCCTTCAGAGGACCTGAGAGAGCAAGACCTGGGAGCTAAACTCAGGTTCTTTCAAAGACACTCGTCTCAAAGGCATTTTCCCTCTCTTTGTGAGAGAGCGCAGCAGTTAGGCAGAGGGCCAAACTTTAATTACATCTGATTTCCAAAAGACTCTAAAAAGCAACTCCCACGCAACAGAGGCAGGTGAGAAATGAGGGATGTGCAAATCAAGCAACTCAATTAGTCTGTTCTACTACCCCAGGCCACACACACTTCCTTTCTCACTGATTCCAGTTAGCTGGGCTTGGCTAAAACAACTGGAGGCCAAAAAGCCTCAATCATAACAACTCTGCCAGTAAGACACCCAAAACTGGTACAAGGACACTGAAAAATATGGTCCCACCCTTTCCTTTGGGAGATATTCCAGCTGCTAGATGTTTAATTAAAATTAGCCATCTTATTTCTCAGTTGTAGTATTTCAGGGTTTGGTGCACTCTTTAACACACCTGCTCATCATTCAGGCCACCAACCTCACAGGTGAGCTCTGGAATGCTCCTGCAGTCAGTGCTCCTGTAGGAAAACCCATCAGGAAGGTACCAGGTGTCCTGACAGCTGGAGTTCCTTCAGCAAACCCCCTCCTCATTCATCTGCTTGCTGCCAGGAGAGGCGAAGGCCAGACTTACCCTGACCACCGTGCTGAGATGGGCAGTGAAGGCGGACACTGAGACTGTGTCTGGGGGTGCACGTCCCTGAGAAATCTGCAGGAACTGAGCGGTTTCTCTCCCGTCCTGATAACCCCTCCTCCTGCTTCCTCAGCTCGGAGCTGGACTGTGGCACTAAACACTTCCAGAGCGGCTGGGAGCCGCTGGGCAGGGGAGCGCTTGGGATCAGGGGCTGGGCTTCGGGAGAGCAGCGGTAGCCAGCGGGGTGGCTGGGAGGAAGGTGAGTGTTGCAGGCTCTGGGCTCAGCTGAGTCCTTGGGCAGGAGAGCGGGGTCGGGCTCCAAGGGACACTTTCTTTTCCTTCGGTGATGCCTGCTCTGTAAGCTGTGTCTGGAGGGCAGCAGGACAGGGGGTGTGCCAGCTGCTCCCAATTGTCTGTTGGCATCTACACTGAAGTCCAGCCTGTTTGGAGAAGCGGAGGGGGCATGAGGGGGCTCCTGGCCTTCTTGGGGACAGGCTGGCTGGCCTGCTGGAGCTGCCTCCTGCAGCACGGCACTGCTTTCCAGAGGTTGCTGAGAGTGATGGCTTTTCTCAGCCCTCTTTTGTGTCCGAGCACTGTGGAAGGCAACCTTGGCCCCAGAATACCGGGATTTGCGTGGCCCAGGCCCCTGCCCGGCCCGCCCAGCGGGACACTCCACGTCCTGCCTGTAGTGATGGTGCTGGTGGTGGTGGTAGTGGACGTGGCTGAGTACCTGGGGCTTGGCCGGAGCAGCCCCTCCGGGCACCATCAGGTCCAAGGACCGGGGCCGCCTCTCCCTGGGCAGCTGCAGCTGCTCCTGGCCGTGGTCTGTGGTGGGGCCCTCAGAGCTGCAGTACACGAAGGGATCATAGTCGCTGCTGAGGGAACTGCGGAACGTGGAGCAGCTGCCATGGATGCCCTGCAGGCTGACGTCTGTGCAGTTCAACATGGAGTCACTGGAGGAGCCGTGGCAGGGCCCCGAGCTGGAGTCGCTGCCTGGCCCATCGGCCAGGTACCCGCTGTGCTCTGTGAGATAGCTCTCCCCAGAGCCACTGCTGTTGTGCTGGTGCCCATGGCCAAGCCCTCGGCGCAGGGTGGGCACACGGTGCTGCTTCTGTGCCACAACTGCCTTGGGTGCCAGACAGGGGGGCTGAGGCTGAAGGGGACATGTCCTGTGGGGTGCCAGCGCCTGCCTGCATGCCGAGGGGCTGGGGTGCTGCTGCCCCAGCAAGCCCGGGGCCAGCGGGGCCACGTGGCCACAGGCCAGCAGGGAGGTGGCTGGTCTGTAGGGCATGTAGTGGATGGTGCCAAAATCCATCTGGGAGAGCTCTGGAGAGTGGAAGAAGGGGTTGCCGTGGGATGGCTCTGGGGGAAAGCTCCTGAGGTTCCTCTGAGGATATGCTTGTGGGAGGTGGTAAAGGGCATGTCCCGGATGCTGGCGGAAAAGGTGGAGTCGCCGCCCAGGCTCCATGTCCTGAGGGACCAGCCTGGAGCTGGCAGCCATGGCCTGGTCCCCTGAGTCTCTGGCTGTGGAGAAAGAAGGGAGTATACAGCACACATCCCACAGCCCAGAAGGGAGTATCCAGCACACGTCCCACAGCCCACGTGCAGCAACCCTGGCACTGATGCTCCACTGCCCTCCCACCGTGGCCCCACGTCCCACCCGTATTCTTCTACTCCTTGCTGCCACCACCAAACCACCCTGATGGTCCTGCACACTCTCCCTGCTGCCGTGACCCCCAGATCCCACCTTCCCTTCCCCACAGGTCTCAGGACTGGAATCCCTCCTCTTGATCCCAGCCCAAGCCCATCACCTTGCTGTACCCTGGTGGGCTCACAGGCAAGGGACTCCTCTCCATGCACATAGTCCCCTGTCCAATCTGTGCACAGAGACACGAGGACCTGCTAATCCATCTCCCAAGAGTAACTGGAGCTCCTGGGCACAATCCTGCACCCAACCCTGTCCTCAGCCAGGAAATGCTGTGTCTGAGCCCTACCAAGAATATTGAACATGCAAAGTGGACATGTGTGGTGCTGCTGCAGCCAAGGGTCAACACAGTCCCGATGGAACTCGTGGGAACACGAGATGATCCGCAGTTCCTAGAAAGAAGTGGAGAGGAGGAGGATGAGCAAGAACCATGTTCCAAGACCTGGATGGGTCCTTCCTGATGGAAGTGAGCCTTGAAGGACGGACACATGTCTAACAGTGAGGGATCTGCAGCCCAACTCTGCACGGAGGAGGCTGTGGAGCACCTCCAGTCCTTCTCTGTGAACATCCAGAGTGGTGCAAGCCCATGGGAATAGGGAGATTTCAGTCTGGGTGCTCTGGAGTAGCAAACCCAATTTTACCCTATTTCAACATGGGCATTTTACCCCACAGCCACAGCTGGAAACCTGCCTGGAGACATGGCTTCAGCAGAAGCTTTACAGCCCAGGAGCAGGCACACCTCATGGATGCAATCCCTTTCCAGCACTCAGGAGTTCAGAAGGAAGCATCTCACAGGCCTCCGGCTCCTGCCATGCTCAGCTCCCGTTGCTGACCCCCCCCACGGGGGAAGCCAGAGCCATGAGTGCAGCAGTCCTGCCCAAACCCTACCTGCCCCTCGCTGAACTCCTCGAGGCAGATGGCACAGACCGGGGCGGAGCTGCAGCTGCTGGCCGAGTCCCAGCGCGGAGCCGGCCGTGCCCGGGGCTGGTAGCGGCGTGTGGCCAGTTGCCCAATGGCCTGCAGGGTCTGCTGCTGCACCGAGTCCTGCAGAGACACACGGGGCTTGAGGAGAGGCTCAGCCTTACTCTGCCCTCCCATATTCAAAATGGGATTATCAGAAACTTGGGGACAATACCCATCTGCAGAGGTGACTTTCCAGCTAAGCTCAACCAGAGTAGGCTTTGTCACCAGCAGGAGACATCTGGCCCTAGACATTCAAATCACTCAACAGTGCTGAATTTTTGATCCCCAAAGGATTGTCTCTCTATAGGACAAATGGGATAGTCTCAAATATGGAAATACATCTGACTCTAGGAAGATGCTTATTTAATTTGTTAATTTCTATTAGGAATACTAAATCATACAATCACAGAATCAAGGAATGGATTTGATTAGAAGGGACCTTAAAGCTCATCTTATTCCACTCTCCTGCCAAGGGCAGGGACATCTTCCACTATCCCAGGGTGCTCCAAGCCCCATCCAACCTGGCCTTGGACACTTCCAAGGATCCAGGGGCAACCAACAGCTTCTCTGGGCAACCTGTGCCATGTTCTCACCCCCTCACCTCACAGGGAAGAATTTCTTCCCACTTCTAATCTAAATCTCTCCTCTTAGTTTAAAACTGTTCTCCCTGTCCTATCACTCTCTGCCCATTTCCCCTCCCAAAAGATGTCTGTCCCTGCTTTTCCTGTATTCCTATTTGCTCAGACACGTCTGCTCCATGAGATCCCTACCTGAGTCCTGTTCAGCTGGCACTTTGTGCGGACAACAAAAATCAAAATGATGACGACCACAGTGCTGACCACTGTGAGAAGAATCCACACATCGTAGTCTGGCTGTTGGATAAAGCAAGACAGAAATTATTCTTGTGTGGAAATTACTCTTGGTGGTAGTTAGAGGCTGAGGGAATCGCCATCTCTTCTGGACCATCAGTCTTGGGAAACCTCATCCTTGGCCAAGCTCCTCCTTTACCTCTTTACAGGTAAAATTAAAAATGGTTCAGTCTTTTCTGCACATCCATACAAGAACAGAATATCTGTGTCTTGCAGCATCTCAGCTCCCTTGAGACCATGGTTTAAGGCAGCACAAGATGAGAAAATCAAGGCTTGGTCTTACTTGAAGAGACAGAGAATCCCCTTGCCCCACTCATGACATTAAATCAAAAGAAACTAAGTAAGCTGAAAATGCTTTTGAGCTTTTACTTGCAGCAGGTCTGAATGCTAAAAAACATTCCTGCAAGAGGCCATGATCTCCATCCCTGAGGAGGAAAGCTCAGCCTCTCTGGGAAAGCCTAGCAGGTTGGGAGGGAGGATACAGGAGGCAGTGGGAATCATGTGTCTCACCCAAGCTGGTGGCTCCTTGACCTCTATCTTCACGTGGGCCTCTCTGTTCTTGTTCACGACACCCATGAGGAGCTCAGCGTCGTGGCCCCTGATTAGGACCACAGGCTGGCTCAGGCCTCTGGGCTTCCTCAGCTGCAAAGAAGCAAACACAGTGAGGGCTGATCCAAAACAGCCTGAAACAAGGACGATTCTGGCCCCCCAGGCATGTCCATTCCTCATGATACTTCTGGCAACACTTCAGAGACTGACTGCTCCCCCAAGTTTACACTACCCCTCTATGATGAATCAGATGGATGTTTCTCTTTTATCAGTTTTCCAGCATGGATTTCTTCATTTTCCCTGCTGGTGACTCCTCATGCACAACCAGCCATTTCTTGGTGTCTCTTGAGCTCCTTTCAAGCCCCTGTGCAAGAGCTCTTGGTCCCTCCTCTTCTCTGTGAAAGTGTCAACAGCACTGCTGAGTGCTGCCTTCACCACAGAAATGCTTCCTCTGCTCTGGATCCATCCAGTTCCCCTCCTCCCCAAGGATATTCTGCTTGTCACACCGGCAGTTTTCCATTGTAGTCCAGGCAGCATGACACAGGCTGGCTCAGCAGGTGTGCGAGCCTGCTCTCCTCCACACTGACCTGGATCAGGGTGGCCATCAGACCCAGTAACCCCTTCCCATACCCTGGGGGAATCCAAAGGTCGGTGGACAGGGATGGAGATGTGAATGGAACTGCAGATGGTCAAGAAGACCATGGAGGCAAGGCTGAAGGCTCTGAGTTGTTGATAGGGTTTGATGCTCTTGGCTTTTGTGTACCAAATGAGAAAGCTGGAAAAGTGGGAGCCAAGGCTCAGGGTACGGATCAGAGAGTGGGATCTGAGCAACCTCAGCATCACCTCATGGACCTGCATTTCCTGCTGTGTTTCTCTGGCACCAGAAATTAAGACGTAAGTGCATGAAAGAGCCACGAGGGATGGATCCAGCAAGGAGTCATCCCAGAGCTTGGATGAGGTCAGGCACCAGCTCCCCTGTCTGTTCCCTACCTAAAACTGGATGTTTTTCATACCCCTGGATTATCTGGATGGGGAATTGATTCCCTTCCAGAGATGACAACAGTGCTGGGGAAAGGGACCTTTGCAGGTATCCTAACCAAGGTTAAACCTGCACCAACAGCAAAGCAAGTTGGCTTAGAAACCTGAGAAATCACCTTTCCTGGGGTACACTGGGTTGTCTGGACTATGTGGGATGGGGAAATTTATGACTTCCCAAGAGGAAGCATCCAGCTCCTCACAGAAAAATTTGATTGACCAGACAATGTCTTCTAAGAGCATGGATGTGCCATGGAAAGTGTCTGCGTGGGGTAAGAGCCAACACCCAACACCAGCAGCATCCTCCTGGGACCTCCCACTGGTGGCTGGGGGGTCCTGCCCTGAGCACATTTCGGGATAGGACAGGAGCACTGTGTTTTAGCTGAGGGTATCACTGGGGTCTGTACCTGATCAGCAGCACTTTCATCATCGGTGATGTCAAAAAGGATCGCACGGGCTCCACGCTCCCCTGCCAGCTTTGCCTGTCCAAAACAACAGAAGCTTCAGTGGACATTTTGTACTGTACCCTGTGTCCATACCTGCCATTGGATCCATGCCTGACTCCTGGGTTCTTCCCAGGAGAAAGAAGCACCTGTTTGGACTGAGGAAACCATTCCTACCTCAGTTCCCGTCTTATGTTGGGCTGCAGTGCCATAGCCCCACAGCTCACGGGTGGTTTCTTCCTAAAGTTGTAGAGGTGAATTACTTGGTGGCGTTGCAGTCACAGCAACACACAAACCTAACCATTCCCCAGCTGTCCGTGTGCCAGCTGCTCCCTTGTTTCAGAGCTGGATTTACTGGGGAGGGATGTGCAGTCTCGTTAGCCCTGCTGACCTCCACGGACAGCAGAAATTCCCACAGGTCCCCTGTCACCTGGCAGCACCAGGGTTGTCAAAGGGCCTGACTGCCACTCACACTGCTCTCGCTGATTCCTCCTGCTCGTTAGGGAGAAGCTCAGGTGGAGCCAGGGTTGCAGGTCTGCTCAGGGAGCTGTCCCTTCCCTCTGGGAAGGCCAGTTCCATGGCCTTCCCAGAGGGAAGGGACAGCTCAGAGACCCACCACGCTGAGCACACATGCCACCCTGCTGAGGTAACCAGCCAGGAGCTCGCGGGTCACCCACCTCCTCCCAGGCAGCCCCTGGAGCCCTCCGGGCAGGCAGAGGCAGCCCCGGGAGATGGAAGGTGAGCTGGGCTGGGCTGGGCTGGCCCGCGGTATCTCAGGCGGAGCCCTTTGATCCGCGCGTCCCGAGCAAACAGGAGCAGCGCTGCCAAAGCCGGCTGGGGCCGTGGGGCACTGCCTGCTCCCAGCCGCGCTCTCAGGCCCGGGAGGCTGCCAGGCCGAGGGGTGTGGCATTCCCGGCACGGCCGAGGGGCACCAGCTCCATCCCTGCTCCCGGGTCACCTCGGCGAGGAGCAGTGGGGGGCCCGGGTCTGGGTACAGGGATGGGAATGGAGCTGCAGATGGTTGGGAACAGGCAGAGGTGGAGGCTCTGGTCTGCTGATTTAAAACTCATGGGGAAGCTGGAAAAGTGGAATCAAGGCTCGGGACAGGGATCAGAGACTGGGGTCCTGCCTAGGATCAAAGGAACCCCAGTGTTTGTAGCACTTTCAGGGGAAGAGGACTTTCAGGCAGTGAATTCCATCCAATAGTCAGGCTTTGATGAACAACAAACAGCTCTACAATTATTTTATCCTGCTAAAGACACTGACTATGGGGCAATGAACAACCGAGACTGGACAAGTGACTTTTCCCAGCATCTTTCTGACTCTTGTTGCAACGGACACAACTTCTGGTGACCAGAGACAGGGCCCAGGGAACGGCTGGAGCTGTGGCAGGAAGGTTCAGGGTGGAGATCAGGGAAAGGTTCTTCCCCTAGAGGGTGCTGGGCACTGCCCAGGCTCCCCAGGGAATGGGCACGGCCCCGAGGCTGCCAGAGCTCCAGGGATGCCCAGGCTGGGATTGTTGGGGTGCCTGTGCAGGGCCAGGGCCTGGACTGGATGATCCTTGGGGTTCCTTTCCAACTCAAGATATTCTGTATTTCTGTTCAAGCCTTTCACAATTTGCTTGATGCAGTAATTTTCTCAGTGTTAGCTGTGTTTGCGCTGTATCTCTTCAGCCACATGGCACAGCCGAGCTCCCTCTATTAGGACTGAAACAATTCTGGTGCAAATAGGTATTTACAGGATGATTTTGGAGGTCTGATAACCAGGCTTGCAATCACTGGTTCACTCAGAAATAAAAAAAATAAAACCCCAAAAAATTTACAAATTATGATCAGAAAGAACAATAAATCACTTTGGATTGATTCCAGAGGTCCTTCCCATGCCTTCCTCTCCTCTAATGCTTTTCCTGCTGGTTTCAGCTTTGGAAGCGGAAGCAGTGACAGAATTTAGGAAGCAGGGAAGTGCCTCAGGTGGCTGGTGGAGTTCTCCTCATGCTGGGCTGGCCAGGGCTGTCCGTGTGCAGGGCTTGGCTGGGTGACAGCTGAAGCAAAGGTTGTGATAACACTCTGCACATGGCTATTTTTATCATCATTGATACAGCCCTGCAATTCCACATGCAAAGCTCTGCCCCAAGACACACTTGCCAAGAAAAAAAGGTTCCAGCTCCACTCAACACCAGCCACATCCCCAGCTACACTCCATCTCCAGAGGAGGAGTATGGTCCTGGGATTTTGAGGAAGTCCTCTCAGCAACCCTGCCCATGGCAGCAGCTTAGGATGCAATGATCTTTTAAGGTCCCTTCCAGTTCCAACCATTTTGTGATTCTCTGTACGATATTAGAGGAAGGGAGCTTGGCAGAGGCTTCAGGAGGTTGGAGAAGCAGACAGGGAGGAATTGCAGGGTGTGGAGGATCCATGATACAAGGCAGGGTCCAGGGATGTCACCAGCTCAAGGAGCATCTGCTCTATTTCATGGCTAAACTACTCCTGTTTATGGAAGAAGAACTGTAAGCCTCCCTTGGTGAGATTTTAGAGCAGGAACACCTGCAGGACTGCAAGTGCTGTCATGTACAGCTGGATATCAAAATCCAGTGCTGGATCTGGCTCTGGTAACAGAGTAGTGATGACTGATGGCCAGTGATCTCAGTCCACCAGGTGAACTGAGTGTTTGTTTGCTTTGGGGTGTTTAGGAGTCCTGGAGAAGGGATCCTGGTGGATGAGCAGAGTGCAGCAATGCTCCATGACTTGTCCCCCCTGTGCCAACCTTCCTCAGCTGATCCTTTGACTCATAACACACTGGTACTTCCAGTGCTGTGATCAGAGTCTCAAAGATGCAGGACAAAACTGGTGAAACAGAATCTCATAATCCCAGAATGGTTTGGGCTGCATGAGACCTTAAAGCTCATCTCATTCCATCCCCTGTTACAGCCAGGGACACTTTCCACTAGACCAGATTGCTCCAAATTCCATCCAACATGGCCCAAGTTTTGAAACCTTTTAAAGTTCTGAAATGGAACATGGGCCTTTGCAGCTGCTTCGTCTTCTTGTTCATGACCCTCCACAGCAGCTGCACTGACCAAACATCCTGGGGCATCCTGGCACCACCCTCATGTGACGGTCACGTCACCTGCCCGGCCCTTTTCCTCGTGTCTGTCACACGCTGCCCAGGCGGGCCCAGGCCATTTTCCAGGAGTGGGGGAACTGACAGCAGGTTGACAACTCCATCACACTGGCTCATGCCAACATCTGGCACCAGCTCCACAGCAGCAGCATCCCAAATTCGGGCTGGGCAACCCAGGAAGGGATAGGTACTGCTGCCGGTCTGCCTGTACAGCCAGGGGGAACCAGCCCTGGGATGGCAAATCCACCATGGCATTACACCCCTTTCCTTACCTTTGATGTCAAATCCTCCATGAAAAAACCCTGTTGTGCAGGAGAAAACACTGTGTACAAGTTTTGCCTGCCTTCTTCAGCTGAGTTGAAGGGAACATGGAAAAGGACCCTGTCCCCATCCCCACCAAATCACACCAGCAGGAAGAAGGCAACAGGGTGAAATCACCTGAAGGCAATCTAGGTAAAGCCAAGAAGAGCTGAACAAGGGGGTTTTCATGTTTGTACAACACTTGCACAAGCATGAAAATACCCAACATTTGGTAGAGAGACCATCAAAAGAAAAAGCCAATGTCATCCTTATCCATGCAACTTAATCAGAATCACAAAGATTTTAAGGCTTAAAATGACCCTTGTTCCTATCTGACTTCCTTAATACCAGAAAATTGGACCACTGACCTCAGCTTTTGGCACAGGAAGTGCTATTTCACTGAGGTGCCTGATCCAAAGACCTCTGAGATGTCCCAGAGCACGAACTGTTAACAAGTCATGACCCACCACTAGTTCAGCTGGTCTGCATTTATCTCACTGCTAAGCACTGAGTCTTCCCATGCCTCATCCAATGAAGTATTGCAGCATTATTTTTGGAAACAGAGCCACAGAAGATGTTTTCTGTGTCCATGTTTTCCCACAGGGCAGAGAACACAGAGAAACACAAATCACACAGACCAGGAAGCAATGTGAGGCTGTAAAACAGGAGGGGTAGAAGGCTACTGGGTAGCAGAGTGTGGGATGTTGGGTAAGGTCTGACCATCCCAGAGCTGCCAGGCTAGGGGGAACTACACACCTTTTACAAAGTCAGGCAGTCCAAAAGGCCAAGGGATGGGTGTTTGGAATGGCTGGCACAGCATCTCTCCTAAAGGACCCCTTCTGCCAAGGACCTTGCTCTGTCCTTGTCCTTTTCTCTACTTCCCAACAGCTCTTTCCTACCTTGCTGCCTCCTCCTCCCCTTTTCTTTGCTGCAGCTGCACCACAGGTTTCAATTCCCAGGCTGATGCCATTTCAGGCATTTTTGCACTTACCTTGTTGGCCAGGGACAGGCAGGGGTTGGGATCCCGATCCGGCTGTTCCAGCTTGACAATGGTGATGAATCCCGATTCCGTGTGTTCATCCTCACTGGTGTTGCACAGGGATAGTGGGTGGGACTGCGGGACAAAAGCAAGGGGAAACTCAGATCCTGGGGCTCAGCACTGCAAAGGGGGCTCAAGCCCACCCTGCAAACCCTCTGGACCTGCCCAGAGGCGTAGAACCCCCTGTTGCCGGGTGTCACCATAACACTGTTACATCCCATGGTCCTGCCCAAGCCAGAGGCTTTGAATGACACAAAAGAACAGTCATTGCCCAAGCTGGGTGTCATCCCAGCCACTCCAACTACCACCCAGAGCCTGGCTGGGCTCTGGAGCTGGAGACCACAAGTTCTATGGCCTCCAACTGCGCCCCACTGACCCCACCTGGCACTGGGCTTCCCAGGAAGGCAGCTGGCAGACAATCCCCTCAATCCCAGGGTTATACCCATTAGAAAAGTGACAGGAATGCTGCAGGCAGTCATGGGGAGGCTTTTTGCTGCTGTGCAGTGATACAACTCAGCACCAATCCCACATCCATGAGAACCCAGCACTGCAGAGTTGGGAGGCACCACAAAGCCATGGAGCTGCTTTTGGTAGCACCAAGTCTTGGGCATCAAAACAAGAACAGGTCTAACAAAACCATGAAAGTAAATTAAAATTATCAAATCCGCGGATGATAGCATGGAGACCAACTAGTTCTAGTGCCTAGTGCAAATGTCTGTGGCTGTGAATTTGTATCCAACTTCTAATCATGTCTGGAATTGCTTAAAACCAAAGTAAAAGCAAAGGATTTCAGTGACATTTGAAATATTTTAAAGTAAAAGTTTGTATCCTTTTGCCAAAACACTGGTCTAGTGGAAGGTGTCCCTGCCCACAGCAGTCAGGACAACTGGATGATCTTTCAGGTCTCTTCCAATTCAAACCATTATGGGATGCCACAACTTAGACTACAGACTACAGGACATCAGAGAGAGTGCAACTGTACCAAGCTAAGCACCACAAACTCTAGAAATCCAGGTTTTCAGGGAAGCACTGGGATCTGTTATGGCTTGGAGCAGTCAGGGACTGCTCCCTTGGAGCACTGACAGCTGCTGCCTTGACTGACACCGACACGGCATCCAAGTGCCTGTGATCCCGCTGGATTCACCCAGAACATCGCTTTGTGCTCTGCTTGCCTGGCTGGGAGCTCGGGTTAAGATGTGATCATGGCTTTGGGTTAATATGTGCTTGCCACAGCCTCAGAAAAACACCAAACAGGAAATGCAGAGTGTGTCTCAGGATAGCTCCAACAGCTCAGAGGCACCCCACCCAACCTTCCCCATGCCGCTCCTGGAGCCTGGGGGAGCTGGGAAGGACCTTGGAGCTGTGTCTGATGCTGGCTGTGACACTCACGGGGCAGTGACAGTCCTGTGTGCTGAGCTCAGAGCAGCCTCTCTGTGACCAGGACTGCTGGGTCTGATCCCAGCATTAGGTGAGGGGGCCAGGCACAAGGCACTCAGAGAAGCCGTGGCTGCCCCTGGACCCCAAGAAGTGCCCAAGGCCAGGCTGGATGGGGCTTGGAGCAGCCTGGGACAGTGGAAGGCATCCCTGCCCATGGCAGGGGGTGAAACAAGATTCCAGCATTAACATTTGTTCCAACCCAGGCCACCATGATTAATGATGAACACCAGGAATATGAGCAATGGGCCAAGCTGCTGCACCTCCAAATGTGCATGAGGAGCATATGGAAAATGCTGGCAGCTGCTCTGAAGCAAGACCCAGATGAAAAATTTGGAGAAGACCTGCTGGTACCTGCACCTGAGACCCTTCCCACGTGGGCAGCTGTCCATGCAGCTGAGGTAGAGTAGTGGACCCTCATTATTCTGTGCTGAGTCCCTCACAGACACTGATCAGGCTGGAGGCTGAGCCCAGGAGACTTCTCAGCACCCTGCAATGCCCAGGAGCAGCTCAGGGACATTCCTGGGGTGGGGACACAGGCACCATCTGCCACAGCCACACACTCCACTCATCTCTGCTCCAGAGACCTCTTCCTTCTTCTCCTATCAGCTCCTTCTCCTGTTTGTTGTTGTACAGTCAAATCCTCCAGCAGCAGCACAGCAGCAAGACATGGCTTTTACTTTCTACATCCTTCAACAGCATTTCCTGGCATTCCCACTGCCCCATTCCTGGTATTACGAGTGAGGGATCCTGGCTGCACACTGCTCACAGGACAAGAGCAGACTTGGAAAATAATCTAAGGATGATGTGGAAAAACAAATATTATGAGACTTCTCAGTGCAGAGGACTCATGCCCCAAGCGTGGCTGCAGCTGCAGAGTCAGGATCCCTTGCTCCCTCCTTGGTCTGTGGCTGCAGATGGGCTCCCAGGCAGGGCATCCCCCTCTCTGCTGGGCTGAGCACCTCTGCAGCATCAGACTGCCGCAGCCACTGGGCCACGGCTCCTTACAGACCCTTATCTGACCTAGGAGACAACAAAATCCCATTGCTGGAGAGAAGGGGTATGTTCATACCCAAAATCAGAGAGGTTTCATACATGCTGCCTAAATCCCACCACACTCCTGTTCCAGCACAGCCCGTTCCCAGGGGCTCCCAGTCAGCAGAGCGACCTCAGGGGTTATTATGCTCTTCCAGCTAAGGCTCCCTGGTGGAAGACACATTGCTGTCCTGCCAGATCCTTCTCCCAGGATAATCCTTGCCTGGCTCTGTGATCCTAGGATCCCAGTGATGGGCTGGGATCAGCTGGCAGGGTTTGGACCCACTCTTGGGTGATTCATCCCTGTAGCTCTGCCCACTCCCCAGCCCTGGTAAGACACTGTCAGCCTGTGACCCCTGGCTTTGTCACTGCATCTGTCTCTGTCGCCACATCCCTCCTGTCAGGCCTTTGGAGAAGACACAGAGCTCCTCCTCATCCCTATCTTCTTGATATCACCTTTTTGGTTTCTTGTTTCCTTACCTAATGGCTTCTCTTTATTTTCTACCTTTTCTGTCCATAGTACCACTCCTAAAATACTGAAGCTCACACCAGCATGAATCACAGGTTGCACTGAGCAGTAGAAAACAGGAGGAAAAAAGGTGACCCTGAGAGATCATCCAGCCCACTTTGCTGCCGGAAGGCAGGATCAGCCAGACCTAAAGCATTCCTCTGAGACACTTGCTCAACCTGTTTTCAAGACCTCCAAAAGGGGAGACTCCTCACTCACTCCAGGACTCCCTTCTCCTCCACATCAGAAAGTGTATTGCAGTGCCTCACTGGACTCAGTTTTGCTCCAGCCTGAACTTATTAATTCTCACTGAATCAACCATGCCTATGGAAAAGAGATTATTTGTGCTTTTTTTTTTCCTCCCCAGTGAGCCTTTAAACATTTCTGTTCTCCTTTCTGTTCACCAAGGAGTCCTGAGGGACAAGGGCTGAAAAAGGACTTGGAGAAATTCCTCAGTTTTCTCTGTAAGGGAACTCTGAGCACTTCCCACGCTTTCTGCATGGGGGAGGAATCAAAATTTGATCTGATCCAAAGTGGCAGGAGAAATGGTACAACCAATCCATAGGATTGATATGGAAAAGACAGGAAGAGAACCGGACAGGAGAGTGTTCACCAAAGGGCTTGAGAAAAATCCTGGACTGAACTCTTCACTACATTGACCACAATCCCAGAAAAACTGCAGACAGCAAATACCAAAGTGCATTTGAAGGAGTCAAGAGCAATGCAGGAAATGGCAGATTGATAATGCTGACTTTCCTGCCAAAAGAAAAGCCAGGTTAAAAAAAAAAACAGGTTATGAAAAGAAGGGAAGAACTAACAGAGCTTTGGAAAAGGAAAGAGATGGTTCACAGAGCCACAGGGTTCCTCAAAGCAGACAGTGAGTGTAGGACCAAAGGTAGTTCCATGAATGCCAGACTCTGGTGTCTCCTCTTCTGTTCTTCTGTAAGGTCAAGGGTATGGAAGACAATGGAATATTGTGCAGTACTGCCCAGGGAGAAGGACTTTGGTTATGGGCCTGAAGCAACAGAACGAGGGGGAATAGCTTCCCACTGCCAGAGGGCAGGGTTAGATGTGATATTGGAAGGAATTGTTCAAAGAGGGTGGGCAGGCCCTGGCACAGGGTGCCCAGAGCAGCTGTGGCTGCCCCTGGATCCCTGGCAGTGCCCAGGGCCAGGCTGGAGGGGTCTTGGAGCAGCCTGAGATGTCCCTGCCCAAGGCAGGGGGTGGGATGAGATGGGTTTTAAGATCCTTTCCAATCCAAACCATTCCACGGTTCTATGATCTTCAGGACTAAAAAGAGAAGAAAGTGGGGCAGCCCTTACAATGAACTCACCAGGACAGTCCCAAGGCAAACTGTGTTGTCCAAATATTCATAAACCACATGGAAAATGACAGGGATGGTGAAATGACCAAACTCTTAACACATAAAAATCCAAGTTGGTAAATATTAAAACTGTCTAGCGAAGGATCTCATGCTACTGAGTGATGGAGTGATACAAGATATTAAAAAATGCAAATATGAAAAAATATATCCAGGTATTTTACACAGAGATGAGCTCTAGGTGAGCCGTTAATGAACAGGAAAGAGCTTGGAGTAACTGTGGGGAGTTTTATGGAAACCGTTGTTGAATCACCCCAAGCAGTCAAAAAGCAAACAGGCATTACTGTAAAAAACAAATGAAAAATGAAAATCCACTAGATAAAGCTGCAGTGTGTCAACATTTTGACTGTTACAGGAGTCCCGCTCACTCCATCTCAAACAGAGATTTCTGTACAAGTAAGTGATTAAGCGAACAAGAATTCTTCAGCTTATTACAGGTGGGATATGTTAAAGCTACAGAAACTCATTAAAAATATGAAGAATTCCTGGATCAAAACACCAGGAAGAGCTGTTAAATGCAAAGGCGGGGACTCCAGCCTGGCTGTGGGCACAGCCTGCTGCAGTCAGGGGGCTGCAGGGGACTATCCATTGGGATTTGCCTGTTCTCTGCACATTTTGGGGCACACACTGGGTTCTGCACTCACCAGGCAGCACCACAGGCTGCACACTCACCTCCCCGCTAGAAGACTTTTGCCACGAATATTTCATCTAGGAACC